GAGATTATAATCAGGGCTTTGCAAATCCACTATTTGTGTCTCTCGATTTCACTGTCACATAACATTTCCTCGTGGAGAATTTTGCCCAACTCTAACTGCAAAGAATCATTTAAGATTCTTTGGGAGAAACTTGGGGAAGTGACATCCCCCCAGCCCACAAACTGCAACTCAGCTTCTGTCCCAGCTGAAGCACATTTACAAATACAGAAGATACACAGAAGAGGCAAGCTCTTACCTTAATGGTTTTGTCTGAAGAGCCACTGAAGAGCAAGTCTCCTATGGAGTAAACGCACAAACACCAGACAGGGCCCTGGTGTCCCACAAAGGTCCCCTTGCACTTGAAGATCTGCTGAGGGTCATAGGCTACAAAAACAAGAGGGCAGGTGAGAGGTGGCAGAACGGTGCTGCGCCATGTCACAGTGAGTTTGGAGGAGACAGAGCTCCCTACACTGGCTCAGCAGATCCTCCTTGCACTTCACGTTGTTGCAGGCCAGAAGGAACTGTGAAACCCTGCCAGTCTGGCTGGAGGGTCTCATGTCCCACCCTTACAGCTCATTGACTTATCACTGTTTGGCGCCCCAGGACTCATTTCCCTAATGCAGCTCCCAGGCTGGACCTAGGGAGGCCAGAGATGCAGAGTCCACTTGACACCTCCTAATAACCCTGCAGCACTGTGAGTTCCCCCTCAGCCAGTGCTTCTGGCAAACTGCCCCACCAGTACTTTCTTCCTGCGGCAGCGGTGATCCTGTGAACAATTCACTGCTGCACCCAGAGACAACTGTGACCATGCCAAAAAGGGCTCATGGGCCCATCAACCCAAACCCAGCCTGAGAGGATGAAAAGCACGTGCATACTCACATCCAAGGATGCCCATGTTGAGCCGAGCATTAATGTGGGAGAGTTCATCCTGAAAAAAAGAACAAGCTGCATGAGCTGCAGAGCCATCAAGACCAGCCTGCCCTTCTGGGCACAGCTTTAAGACTGTCCCCGTCCGCTGCTAAAACCACTCTTGCCTGTGGACAGGTCTTGACTCCCTGTGAAGGCCCTCCCTCAGCAGCTGGCTCATTCTCTGATCAGAGGTCTCCTGATCTAGGACTGCATGGGGCTCTGACAGCATCTCAGACCTGCACTAAGCTCCTCAGTATCCAGGCAGAAATAGCTTTCAGAATATACTGTCCTTGCTCCACCATTCACCAGACTGCTAAAAATAATCAAATTGGTTATGGGGACTGCTTGCTCAGCTGGGCTCTTGAAGCCCACCGCGCTGGAGAAAAATTGGAAGGTCTCTTTGTAGTCTCCTCCATGGCCCAATGCCTACTGCATCCATGGGGACCCTCTTCATTAACACACTTAGGTAAACCAGGGTGAGCTCCTCCTGATCAGTCCACCCAGTGGGATGCAGTCTGCCTGAAGTAGGGAGGAACGTCTATCTAACTTGAATAGTGTTTGAATAGTGCTTGAATAATGTCCAAAATCATGAGACAGCCCTCACTCCCAGTTTGTTAGCAAGGATCTGCTTATCTTCCTGCTTTCTCTGCAGGCAGGGAGAAGGGCATACTGTCCCTGGCTAATATGTACAGGAGTGCCCAAGCTTTGGAGCAGAGGGCTTGCTCCTTGCTGCAGGGGTCCTTTCCACTGGTAACACATTTCAAGAGCAGCAACAGACTGAGAAAAGACAGCAGGAACAGTTAAAATGGCAGCTCAGATGCAGTGACTAGAATGTGCTCACTGAGCTGCCTTTAACTCAGCCTAGAGGAAACCTTCACCCAGCTGCAGTTAAAGCAAACCAAATCTGGGGTGAGCAGAGCCAGCAAGCACGAGGGAACTCAAAAGACTCCCCTCACTGCAGGAGAAGCCTAACTACCAGCAGAGCCAGCAGCTTAACTGCATGCAATCCCTTTTCAGACCCAGGGCCCGGCCCCCTCCTCACGTTCAGCATGGAGGCATCCCTGCGGAACTCCATCAGGTCCTCGCTCAGCTTGCTCTGGTTCTCGTCCAGCACATCTACAAGAGATGGACAGGCCCATAGTCACTGCAGAGTCATTGATGGCATCCATGGGAATGGGCAGAGGACACCCACTACCACCTAACCTCTGAACAAGGAGGGAAGAGAACCCACTGCTGTTATCAGCAGGGAAAAGCAGGAGGGTGTCTGCTACTCAAATGCAAATTGTACCTGGATGCTGAAGACCCAATACATTTCAGAGGCAAGACAGGGCTGGGCACAGCAAAGGTGTCCAGGAACTGTGCTCGCTCCAGGATGGCTGCATTGTTGGCTATTCAGCTCACTGATTTTTATGGGGGCTTGTGCCCATGGACTGGGCAGGAAAAAGTCACAGGAGAAAGGTGGCAGCTGCCTGAAGACATTTCTAGGACTTGCCATGTGATTGTTGACTACAGGATTAGGTCCCATGATTTCTGGCAACAAAAAAGTTGATGGGACCCCTATTTGTTCCTCTGCAAGGAATATCTGGACCTCCTGAAACCTGCTCAGCACCAGTTTTAAACACGGAAGAGCTAACGAAGAGCTGCCCTGTCCCTACAGCTCTGACCACAGAGCTTGTCTGGCACAGACTCACCAAACTTGAGCTCGAGGTTCTTCTCCAGCTGGTCTATTTTCTCAGAGAGCTTCCCCAGCATGGAGCGCAGGAAGGCAATTTCCTGATCCTTCTGGGCCATTGCCACCTGCATCTCATGGAAGCGATCATCTGTCTGCTGCAGGAACTCCTTCAGACCCTCGAACTTGCACGTCTCCAAGTGGGTCTCATAAGTGTCTTGATTTCCTATGAATGTACACCTACAAGGGGAAGGCAGATGCTGGCTGGAGCTGAGCTCACACTGGAAACCTCCTTGCTCAGCTGGCTCCTCAGAGGGAGGTCTGAGGCTCATGGGTCCCCAGCTGTTCTGCTCCTCCTACCAGGAGCAGTGGTACTGTGGTTCACCCATCCTGCTGGGTGCAGGCAACTGCAGGGCAACATAGAGGCCAAGCAGCTCCCATTCTGGCCAGGGCACTGGCCCCAGACTGAACTGTCTGTCTGTCAGTCTAGGTAGTTGCAAGGAAAAGCAGATCTTGGGCAAGAGACAGAATGTGGTGTCAGTTCATGTGCTCACCAGGAGCCCAATCTAAGAGGTATCAAAACCAATGGAAAAAACTGCAGCTGACCTCGGCAGATGCTGACTTGGGCCTGCAGCATGGCAAGGAGTCAGGGCTGCTCGGTTAGGACTTGCCTTGCTCTGCTTCTGCCAAGACATCTCTTCCTGCAATAGTAACCTTAGCTGTGCATCCTGCAGGGAACCCCCAGCCTGGGCTGCACTCCTGTTCAGGTGACCATCAACCCTCTGAGGCTGACCAGCACTTCCTTTGCCCTGGCACTGGGACTGGTTTGAGAGAGACTGCTACGATGCTTGCATTAGTCTTGTACTCATCCTCCTTGCTGTGTGGCTCTGGCCACATCCACTGTTCTGACACTTTTCCAGGTTCTTCTGCCTACACACCTCAGCCTCCTCCTGGGCTGCCAGTAGGGCTTACAGCTGGGCAGTGTGACCTGCCTGTTCTCAGCAAGAGGCTCAGGGGCTGCCTTCTGCAAGCCCTGCAAGCCTGATCTCAGTCTCAGGCCAGTGCACAGCACTGGGTAGAGCTGCTCAGAGCCCATTGGGCTACCCCAAGGCTGCAGTAGCCAAAAAGCAGCTCAGAAATGAGCTCAGTGCATCCTTCCCACTAAAAACCACCAGCTCCTTACCCATACTTGGAGTGGGGACATTTTATGTGCTCGCACTCTTTCAGATGTGCCTCCAGGTTCATTTTCAGGAGAGGTGGGCAGCTGGGGTTATTGGGGCAGCGAACCGGCCTGTAATCACAGCTGCTTTCATGATCCCTGCCCAGGGAGAGAAGCAAAAGGAAGGAAAATCAGCAATAAGCAAAAATTAATGGAAACAACACAGATCGTCAGGAAAGGAGCAAACCAGCCCTGTAAGACTGTCAAGTGATTGAAAGCCTCCTGCTCTAAGACTGCAATTACAGCTTTAAATTCTCATTTGGCCAGTAAGTTGAGAGTAATAATAGGCCACATTTATGCAGGAAACATCTACTTCTGCAGCTGACCGACTGAGCCTTCAGGCGGCTATCAACAACAGGCAATGGCCAGGTGATAGGGAAGACAGTGAATGCATTTAGGATGGGGAGGGAGATAGATTTCAGATTCCTAGGAAATAACTAGGATAACTCCTCTTACAAAAAGAACCCTGAGGTCTCTGCTTGACCATAGCCACAGTGTTTCACCCCAGATGTGAGGTGGCTGTTTTCACAGTGTATCCCCTGTCCTGATACTGGGACACTCAGGTAAGCTGGGAGCAGAGAACAACATCCTTTCCCTAAGACCAGCCTGTCTGCCATCATCCTAAGATTGAGACAGCGGAAAGAACGGTCCCCTCAAGTCACCCTGCCCATTCCCACACCCCCGCATGCCCCAGCAGAACACTGCTGGTGGGATCTGCACTGTCCCCAGGAGCCGCAGGGCAGTTCAGATATGACAGCAGATTGCTGGTGGTGGAGCCCTTTGCCTGGAGAGGCTGCACACTGGTAACAAGCCACTTACTTCCTGGCACTCAGTTTAATTGTAAACGGACATCCACGGGGGTCCACCTCGAACGCAGCGGGCTTGCTGCTGGCTGCAGGCCCCCAGCCATACTTGCAGTGAATGAAGAGCTCCCCGATCTGCTCAGCCACCGCAATGTTGTTAACCACTACGGTCAGTTTGGCGTTGTCCACAGGGCACTTCTCTGCCAGGTGGGGAAGCAGAGAGAGAGTCAGCAAGAGCTGAGACACTGCAGGAGATTTTTTTTTTTTTTGCCTTCTCTGGCCAAGACAGCCAACTCCCAGATGCGTGGCAATGCAACAAGCCATGAATATTTGCACACGGTCTGTTTGTCTTGGGGCTTGGTGAGAAGCTAGTTTCTGTTAATCCATGATAATTTGAGCTAGCTGCCAGTGAAAGAAGGCTACACAATTCAACTACCTTGTGCTTGCTGAAGTGTGAGGATATTCACGGGCAGTGACCACAAATCATCATCAGATGCCCCATACTTAACCCGTTCCCCCACCCAGGCCTGGAGCTCAGCCCCTCTGCTGCCAGTGGGGCACTGCAGGCCAGGGATGCTGCAGAGAAGCAAAGACACAAGCTTTGAGGGCAAGAGCAAAACTGAGCAACTCAGGATTGCAACTGCAAAGGCTTTTGCTACAAATCTGTTGTCTGGGATAGATATAGCACAACGTGGTGACAGAGGGTTAGCATGCAAAGCAGAGGGACCCCTCACATGTGGAAGATGAACATCTTAAGGCAAAAAGAGCTGCTGTTTTGCTGGACTCCCCAGGGATCCTCCTCAGGGCTCGCTGTTCTGGTAATGTGAATGGCTTGGCTTTGTGCTGAACAACAGCTTTCCAAAAGGGCACAGGCTCGTGCCAAATAAAGCCTTTTTCGTAGCACAGAGTCCAACCCAAGCAGGAGCTGGTTAGGCCAGGCCAGCAGCCAGCCACTTGGACTCCACCAGGTTTCTGGAAGAGCTGGGTGAGCTAAAGGAGCTCTGTGTGCTGCTGCGCACAGGATCAGTCAGCGACCAGAGAGCTGGCACTCACGGGATGAGGGAGGAGGGGTTTGATGGTCTCTGCCAAATAGGGCCCCCCTGTTCCTCGGACAGGCAGCCACAGAAAGCTTTCTGTCTGGAATCAATGGGTCAGCTCTGGGCGAGACGTGTATTATCCTGGGATTATCCATTGCATATTCCAGGATTTGAGAACATCCTGTGCCCAAGTGCCAGGCCTAGCCCTCTAGTGCCCATGTACAGCGCATACCATCGGAGCTCTGAGCTGCAGAGCCACCCGTGTCCCAGCCCCTCACTGCTGCAGAGACAGACAGCCTGCGACAGGCAGCTTGTTTTAAGCCCTTCAGACGTCTTTCTGTGGGTTTCTTTTTAAGTGAAAGCAAACAAACCAGAAAATAGTAGTGTTTTGGCTGCATTGCACAAGAACAGTTTTGTACTCACCAGATGTTAAGGCACATCTTCTACAAAATGTGTGCTGTGGAGACAAAGAAGAACAGCAGTGTCAGCGTAAACAATATTGGACAAATTATTCCCTCTGGCTAATGATGGGAAAGGTGGGAGATACCAAAGCCTGTGGCACAGGGGCCTCAGCAGCTGTTCTATCGGCTTTATAGCTCAGCGCGCTCTTCAGTCTGCACCACAGGGCAAAAACCAGCTGCCTGCTCAGGCAGCTAAGAGTGCAGCACAGGTCCTGTTCCTGAGAAGTATTAAGTGCGTGGTTTGAAGCTTTGAGGCTTCTGCCCTGTTCAAGATCAGGCCACAGTCACGGTGCAAGCCAAAGGCATGGGCATGTTCTGCCACACCCCTACCCTCCAAGCACGCGGTTTCTCTTCTTCATCCTCCACTTCGTCCATGTCATTCCTCTCGTTTCCCTGAGAAGTCCTCAAGGGGAAGGGGAAAGGGAATTCTGGCTTCTCCCGGTGCTTGGCCAGCCAGCCCATTGCATATATCCCTCTGTAGCTCTTCTAATGTAGCTGAAGCTGCCCTGCTCTCAGGTGGATGGGACAGCTGGTTTGTAAGCCCATTAAATGCACTGTAAATTTTGCCACTTTAAATAGCTCTCTATCTCTCCATTCTCAAAGCAAAAATGTAGGGTAACAATTTAACGTGATAAAGTAGCAAATTCAATCTAACAGGCTAATGAATATAAAGAGAAGAACAAAGGCTGCAGCATTTTACTGGTCCTGAACTTGCCCTGTAGGTTCTCTGGAGCCTCCTCAGCCACATTCCCCTGCCACAGGGCCAGCGCTTGGCAGCAGTGCTGGAGAGGCTGCAAGTCACTCTTCAGAGGTGTTATCTGCTGCCCTGCTCACGCGGCCTTTTCCTGCCCTGCACAGCTGCACAGTGCTCTCTCCAGAGCTGCCAAACCAGGACTGCAAATGAAGCCAGCCTGCTTCCTGCAGCAGATTTTTATTTCCTATATTAACCAGTAAATCTCAGTGTCTCCACGAAGAGCTACTTACTGAAATGGTGCAGCGAAACTACACCAACTTCCAACACCTTTGGGGATAGCACCCTCACAGCAATAAACAATCCTGCTCTCTGCTTTTGTTGCTACAGCTCCATCCTAGCAATCCGAAGCACGTCAGAAGCATTAGGGAGCCTGTCACAAAGCCATCTTTCTTCACATGTAGCACAGAAGCAGGAGTAATATACAGTTTCTATTAAATCCCAGTAAAATGGAATATAGAAGAATATTCTTAATACTCTGTGCCTTTCATTAGAGAACCTCAAATCCCTTTGCAAGCATTAACTAAATGAAGGTTCAAACCATTCTTGTTTTATAAGAAACACTTTCTTCACAGCTGAAGAGCAGCCAATCCTGGGGTGTGCAGGAGGCAGCAGCACTCTGCAGAGTCCTTCAGGGCAGGGAACGAGGAGTTTTAGACCTCACTGAAGCCACACCAAGGAGACTGAATGTGGCCAGTACAGCTCTCCTGGGAAAAGCAGACCCATTTTAAGCAAGCCCCAGGATTCTCTGGCTAACTGCAGTGTGCCTCACACACCCCGTTGCTGACTGGTTCAGCATCTCCGCTCCTATGCTGGCCTGGCTTCCCTGGGCAGGGGCTGCCTCATCTTTGGTCACTCAGGCTGACAGTCACTGGGGACAGCCACTGGGGACAGTCAGAGCTTCGCTATAGGTCATACAAGGACATCTGTGGAGCCCACACTCGTTACTTGGGGAACCTTACCCCACAGGTTGTGATGACTGGATCTTTAAACACACTACAGCACAGCTGGCAGCACAGCTTCACGGACGGTTGTTCAGCAAATACCAGCGGCTCCTGAAGAGGAGGAGAGAAAGGGACAGAGAGAGCACAAGGATTAGTCCCAACGGGATAGCCTCCAGCTCTGCAGATGGAACAAAACAACTCTTCAGCGGTGAGCCTTAGGGAGCCCGGGGCACCTGGCACACTAAGGGTTTCATTATTTTGAAATAAACTTTTGTCTGGATCTGCTGACCTTCAGTATGGAAGAGGTAGGGGAATAACGAAGTTGGGAATGGCTGGAGACCCTCAGCTCATCACGAACTGGGGGCCACCAGCACGTGACAGGTTCAGGACCCAACAGCAAACAGCACAGACCAACTTCTTTGCCAGAGTGACTCAAGTCACCAGAACTGCATAAGCTGCACTGCCTGGTACTTTCTGCTTGGTTGGACTGAATAAGTTTAAAAGCAATTTTAAAACGGCTTGCCCTTTTGTATTTTTGAAACATCCTGAAGGAAGGGCTCTTTCATTCCCTTATGAAGCAGAAACAACATTGTTTCTGCTGCAATGGGCCCATCTCTCCAGTTTTGTTTACCAACTAAGAGGGCCGGAGTGCGGGCTCTGAGCATGTCCTCCTGGAGCAGCTCAGCTCTCCGCTCCACGCCAGAGCAGGGCTTCACATTTCAGAGCATTTCAAATCAATCACTGCAGTTTGGCCTGTCTTTTCATCCTGTGCTGCTCTCAGAACTGCAAACACAACCCCCTGCATACCTAAATATGAAACACACACTTTTATCCCAGATCTGTGGCAAAATGCCACCTGACCTTTTATGCATCCAGTCTGGTGGGTCACAAGCTAAGCTCAGCTTAAAAGTGTCCTCCCCCAACAAGAGTCACATGTGGACAATTCCTTGTACCCTCCTGGGGCTTGCAATCAAGTCAGTGGGGTACCACGCAACCCTAAATACAGGATGGGGCTCTGAATCAGTGGGGAATTGTATTAGTCTTGCTGCCTGGGGCTAGACCACCAGCCTAAAGACTTGCAACCCCCTACTGCTCCGCAGAAGAGCCAGGGAATCACACATGGCTTTGCAAAGACTTACAGTTTTTCTGAGAAGCAGAAAAGCCTCACCATTGTCCCCTCTTTATGTATAGGGAAACGGTACAAAAGGAAGCAAGGGAACTTGCAGAAGTCACTGGTGGAAACAAAATTAAAACCAGGAGTCCTGACAGCCAGGCTTTTAGTTGCCAGACATCACAAAAATCTGCTTGTGATAGCCCTATGTACTCAGAAGAGTCCGCTAAACTACTCTTTTGACACTGAACTTCCTAATACTGCTCCTTCAGACAATCCCAAATACCTACTGGCTCCTCCTCTTCCTCATGGAGTGAGAACGTTGAGCGCAAGGACATGTTGGACTCAGAGTGCAATGAACGGACGGAGATAGCAGAGTCAGAGCGGCGTGGGGTGCTGATCGGAGGCTTCAAAGAGATAAAAACCAGCTCTTGTTATTGCAAATAACTCCCCCCGCTCCAAAACCCTATGCACAGACTTGAAGTGCAGTCCCCCCCCTCCACAAAACTCAGCTGCTCCATTTGTTCATCCACTCTGCCAAGCTGCATTGAGTGGCCCCCCAAAGTAGCACGTCTCGCTGCTGTCTGCCCTTCCCGGCAGCCGGGAACACTGCACCACGCTCAGAAACAGGACAGGCATCATTCAGGTTTAACTTACTAAACCAAGCTGACATCTAAATTCCAAGCACATAACTTTCTCAAAGGTGCATTTGTTAGTATACTTACCGTCCGCACCCACAAAGCAATGGTTTGGAAGAATTAATCCTTCACAGAAAGCTTTGTAAATCTCCCCCAGAGACAGCTACCAGCTTCTGCAATTGCGATAATCCCTGCAGCAGCACTTGTTGTTTCACTCGCTATCTAACTTCTGCCAAATTTCTTTGCGTAAGTGTGGAGACTTCCTTCTATTCAATTCAGCAACAGACTGGCTTTGTCGCTTCCTGCTCGGGAGGGGAGAGCTAAGTGGACATTGCACGCACCAATCAAGAAAAATCCCACCGGTTGCGGTGGCCTTGGGATTGGTTTTGAGGGAATGCTGCCACTGGAATATTAACCAGCAGCACATCTCTAAGGGTGGAATATCAACCAGCAGCGCATAGCCATGATGCAATTGGGCATCAAAGTGAAACCAGAGACAATTCAAACCACGGGGTGATTGGATTTGGGGGTCTGGAAGAACCAGTAGCACAGCCACTGTTGGGTTACTCTGGAAGAGATGCTGCTGGCAGACTAGGAAGATTGAGAGAAGCAATAAAAGTCTTCCAAGGAGCATAACGGGAGGACTGACAAAGAAAGGGCAGAACAAAGCCATAAGCTTCAGATGCTTAGCATCAAGAGATGACCAATGCCCAGGCTGCCTGCACATATCACACCTATATGTGGCTTGACTGTAGCCTGTATCAGTCGCAAACTCCTAGAAGTGCTGGCTGAAAGGAGCTCTGGAGATCGCTGGCCCTGCTGCCCACTCAGAGAGGGACTCGCCCTGGCCCTGCATCAAGTGAGCCCTGGCACTGCCCCGCTGCAATGGGGAAAGCTGCACAGATGAGACTCTGCTACCTCGGGTTCCTGTCTTGCACTACCTCGTGAGCAAAATGGTTTTTTTTCCCTCATGTTCAATCTGAACCTCACAAGCTGCATTTTGTGTGCTTGCCCAGGGTGAAAGTGTGTGACATCAGACCCGAGGACAGACAAAGGAATGCAAGAGGCCAGTGGGGCAGTCAGGAAATTCAGGAATGAAAGGCATAAGATGAGCTTCAGAGGCTGCTGCCTTCCCCAGAGACAGACTATACTGCAGCCTGAGCACAGTCCTTGCTGGGCTGCAGAAGAGGAGCAGACCAGGATCCTGATGGTTCTTCACACTACTTTGCTTCTTAATTTTTACGATACTTGGAGCCTAGGAGCTCAGAAGCGCTGTATCTGCTTAGAAGCCAAAGCATAAAGCTCTCTTTCTTAAAGAAAGCATATTTATTGGCTAAATATGTAAACCTTGAGGAGGAATGGTTATAACGAGGTAAATCAATTTTATGTGTACCCATTAATTTTATTATTTTCCTCTGCTAGTAACAGAAGTTATTAAAATAACAAGAATGACTGTGCATAGTTCCCATTCTGGAGGCGGCAGAGAGATCAGGACAGCAAAGGCAGGCTCTGAAGGGAGGCAGTTTTACCAAGAGCAACATCCTGCGTGGATCACCGATGGAGAGGAGGGGGACTGCAGCCCAATAGTACTTCCAGGAGGCAGGGGTGTGAGACACAGCTGAGCTAGGCTTGTGCAACACTGTGGGCTCAGCTCCCTGTGTCCTGACTGGGCTAACACTGGTGTAAACTACGCAGGAGTGAAACTGATGTGCTGAGAAAGGTCACTCCACTAGGGCTGTAGTGACAACACTGAATGGCAGAGGCGTGCGCTGGCGTTTACTGACCCTCTAGGTATCTGCAGCTTTTCTTTTTGCCAAGCAAACAAGGCTAAGATGCAAGAGACCTCAGCTCTACTGGATTAGTCACTGCACTGCTTCCCACTCCTGGCCTGGCTATTTAGTCTGAGCTTTGCCACACTAGGCGTGTGTAGAGCAGCCAGCACAAGGGGACTGACCGCAGGGTGCTCTTGCACTGCACACAGAATAACACAGCACAAGGACCACAGGACCCCCACCCTGTGGGCATCAGCCCAGACTGGGGGGGGGGCCCATATGCACCAAAGCCAAGGAGCGCCAGGCCCTGCTGCAGGGGCTAGGTGGCACAAGTGGCACTGCTTCGGCCAGGCTTGGATTTGGGAGGATCTGTCAGAAGGGTCCCACCTCCCTACATCTGTGCCAGGGTTATTTCTGCACCAAACATCAAGTCCATCTTCAAACAGCCCAAGGATGGAGTGCTCAACTGTCTTTTGATGGAAGATGGATAGCTTGCAGCTGGCTGGTAACTCAGTCAAGCCTCTGGTTCAGGGGTGAAGCTCCCTGTAAACAACTGAGACTTTGGACAGCCAGTCAGCTCTTCTTCCATTAGTACACATTTGTCCCAATATTCAGCTGTAATCTTTAGGCACAGTTCCCATCACGTCGGCTACAAAAGCAGCCTTCATGTGAAGGCTCTACCACAGTCCTCGTTCCTGCTCCCTGTAGGCATAGCAAGGCTGGGAACCCGTGGCACTGTTTTCAGGAAAGATGACAGGAGCTGCTCAGTAATCCCTGCCTTGCACACAGAACACACTGCTCTGCTTTCAGTTTCATTAACAGAAGCTTTAAAAAGAAAGAAGAAGGGGCGGTGGAGGTCACAGGAGGCTGACTCGTCTCCAGCTGTCTCTCTGATGCCTGACAAGCCCTTGGCAGCTTCTGGAGAAGGGAAAACTTAGCGATGAGGAAGGGAAATCCCAGATTATTTCTTGACAAAGCAAAGGAAGCTTCCTAAAAGGGTTAGTGAGAGTTTGTCTGGAGCAGCAGGCAGAGTGGGGCTGTGGCGCTGCTGGTTTGTTAGCACCTAGGGCTGCAGGCTGCTTCCTGAACTACTCATTAATCCTCTCGCTATTTTTGCATAAGAATATTTAGCACTCCAGGGAAGGTGTGCTGAGACTGCCCAAGAGGGCTGAGGCTCGGTCCTAGGAGAGATCGCTCATGCTCTTGGCTGCATGCCTCAGTTTGCCACACTGTAGTTTTCAAAGGAGTCAGGGGGCTTCTCCATCAGACGTGGCTAAATGTAATGCCCCCCGCACGCGCCGCTCCTCTGGAAAAATCCTCACCCGTGCTCTGCGACAACTGCACAGCTCATGAAAAGGGTGCAGCGAGTGCAGCACTCAGCCCATGAGACCAGTGCTGACAGCCAAGGGCTTCCTGGAACAGTGGCCCGGCACCATGGGGTCAGTGATGTGATGGAGAGTTGCATTTGCCAAGGACACGAGGCAAATGTTCAAAGGACTTTTTGAAAAAACAAACACACGCTCACATAAAACACAGCAAGATCTCTGAGCAACAGAAGGAACTTTATAGGATGCTGACAATAAAGCTCTTTGCAATGTGGTGTCAAATTTATTTTAAGAAGTGTTGCAGCTCCATGCTGCTGCTGACCCCAGTCTCTGCTAGTGCCTAACTTCAGCAGCAGCAGTGATCCATCTATCCCTGGCTTGGAAGCTGGGTCTCATAACCTGACAAAGTCTACAACTTACTTTGAGGAGCCAACTAGTCACATGGTTAAATCTTAAATAGGAGCTTGTAGTTACAAGATGTGGCTGGAGCACTAGGGATAGGAGAAGTCAAGGCCTCAGAGCTATCTGTCCATTCACTGAGGTTTGCTTTGCTGTTGCTGTTTTTGATTTGATTGATTTAGCGGATTTAATTTCTCTTTAAGCAGCTAACCCTGTTCAATCACTAAATTCCCCCAAAAGAAGCTACTCAGAAATGAGCATGATGAATGAGAAAGCTGGGTACAAAATTGGGAAGTACTTTTCTGCAAAGGTATTGCGAGACATGGGACTGGTTTGTGTGAGAAGACCCCGATGATGTAATTGTCAGGAGCAGAGCATAGCCTGTGGCATCTGACATCCCACTCTGCAGGTTTCAAACATGCTCCCTGCGGTCAGAAGCCCCATCTGGAGGTGTGGCATCTGACATCCCACTCTGCAGGTTTCAAACGGTCAGAAGCCCCATCTGGAGGTAGAAAAAGGAATGGATTTTCTGATCCTAACTGCAGGGCCAGCTGTGCTGCTGGATGGTCCATCCAAGACACCCTGATTGAGACTGACCATCCTCAGCCACAGCCCCCAAGATCGCTGACAGCAGCTCTGTTTTCTCCCGAGCTCAGGAGACCCAGAGCACACAGATCACTTCAGGAGGCAGGTACACCCTCACAAGCAGGCCTGCAGGATTTGTAGCTCCCGGGCTTTGTAACCACATACCATCTTGAAAGCACCATCAGCACCAGCCTAACACCCCAGGTCAGAAGCAGCCTCTGTGTCCCCACTGCACCAACCCCGGGAGCAGCCAAGAAATGCTGAGGCTGGTCCCGCCTCAAGTGCGGACATCTGCCTCCCATGTAACACAGTGCATGGGAATGACGAGGGAGGCAGGGAAGTCCAGAGGAGCACCCAATGTCCCTCATTTGACATATAATCAGCTAAGCCAGTCAGCAGGGCGGCTCCTGGCCACACTTACCATGCCATCGTCCTCATCTCGTGGGGAGTAGGTGAGTGTGCTGGAGGAGGACGGAGTCCGACGATGCTGTTTAAAAGTATTGGTCCCGTCAGCTTTAAAGCAAATTAAAAAAAAAAAATAAAAAAAAAATCAAGTATTTAGGCTCCTCAGTAACATTACCAAGCTACAGGTCAGTCTCTGTAGCTTTAAGTGTTCCTTGAAAAAGAAAAAGACTAGGGATTCCCCAATTCCAGTTCTTGACCTGGATACGTCAGTGCAGACAGAACAATCCTGATCTCTGATAGCTCACTGAAATGTATGCAGCCCTTTGAAGGTAGCCTGCCCAGGAAAGAGCACAGATAATATTCTACCGGGACCATAGGTTAAAAATACTATTAAAAGGAAACCTTATACCTCCACATATTTCAATCACTGACAAAAATTGCTTCGACCAAAGGAGGTCTGGATATTCCTGTAGCACAAGAGAAGCATGCTAAATTAAATTGGATATATTTGTATAAAGATAATATTACTGACTTATATAAAATTTTTAATGTAAATATTCAGGAGTCCAAAACCATCTAGAGTCCAGAGTCCTGTACAAATGTAATCCAAACACGTCCCGTTGCCTTATCTAAATCAGTGTCAAGTGCCACAGTTTATCTTTACTAAAGTAAGGATATTTTTATTCGAAAATGAAACCAGACCTCTTCCTACAGTCACGCCATGTGTCAGGGCTCAGACTCCTCACCTGCTGGGCTTTGAGGAACAAAGCACATGAATTTTAAACAAGCAGGGACACTTGCACCCCCTCCTGTCTGAGTTAGAAATGGCCATGGGGGTTTTACCAGTGTCCAGAGTGACTCACAGTCAGGCAGAGAGTGAAGATGGGAATTTTCAGTGCTGGTAACAATTGCATGAGAAGTCATGGAGATAAATAAGATTTGGGACTGAGCTCTGTATCAAACACTATTGTACTATCCTAATTTCAGCGAGGGCCTCCCAGTGGTACTGTTAAGTCTGCCTAATGGGAGAAAATTTCTGTGCACGCTCATCTCCATCATGCCTGGTGATCAGACACCATGTTAAATAACACTCGGCCTGCATAATACTAAAACCAGCACTTTGGCACCTGTCTTAAACACAGCGATTCTCCAAACAGCTTTATGATCTGTAAAAGAACAACAACTGGTAGGAATCACACATAGTGCTCTGGGGGAGAAGCTCGATGCATGAAATACGCTCACCCTTTGTGATGGTCGTCACAGCAGAGTAGGCTGGCCCGAAAGTTGTTTCCATTCTTGTCTGAAACATTGACAAAATGAAGGTCAGTGTGTATCACTGCAGCACAGCCCAAAGTCTTGCTACCTTTACTGAACTGGGGAAAAAATGTACATATATATTCCCAATTTTTCTCTGTGGATATTGTGATTTTTAGAGGCAAGAAAGTACCGTATTTTCAAAAGCCATCTTCATTTTCTCAAAAGAAGGGATGAGAATATAAGCAGCAGCCCTAGCCCCTATCCTCTGCCGACACTGCCGAGCCTTACCCCGTTAGTGTTTTCGGAAGTAGTGATGTTTGTTGTGCCACTGGAAAAACGATTGTAGCGAGCGTTCTTGTTTGAGCTCATAATCTAGGCCAGCACTTGTTAGTCATGGGAAGTCTGCTCTGTGGAAGAAGAAAGACAGAAAAAGAGTTAGGTTCATTGCACATATTATCCTGGGCTGGAAGAACAATGTCCCATAGCATTAAGTCCAAGTATTTACTTAAGCTCTCACATAAACCTGGATTTTCAGAAGCAAGTGGCAAGGTCAAAGTCAGGTTCCTTCAAATCATTCCTGGATAGGCATTCAGCATTTTCTAAAGATATGGTATCTTTTAAGGTGACTCCTTAATCACCCAAATACTGGAATACCCATAATTGTTAGCTGCCTTTACAAGTATACAACTGTTTTAACAGCAGATGAGACTTCTCAGGAGACTGCTCTAAGACAGACAGCATTCCCCTGGTCAGGACACACATCAATCTTTTAAAAACGAGGGTATGTACCAGTTGTGACTTGACAGTCCCAGCAGAGAAGAGCACTATGCAGGCTCTGTATCTGGTCCCTCCCCAGTCTGAGCATCAGAAAGCAGGTTACCTGCTGCTTCCCAAAACACTTTGCACAGAGCAGTGATTAGCAAGCAGAGGCCTAAAAGGGAGCCCCTTCCACAAGACACAGCAATTGTGAGCGAAGAGCAGACTGTACCACGGCAGGCAGAAGGATTTCAGCGGAGGCCACGGACACGAGCCTGATCTTTCAGCGTGCTGGGGAACTGTGAGTGCATGGAGGGCAGAAGAGGTCTCTGGATGTAAAGCTATACCAGTAAAACCCTTATCCCATTAAGTGTGAGGCTCAAGCTGAGCTGGCCTGGACTCCAGAGCCCAGCGAGCTTGTTCACGCACAGCTTTACAGCTCAGGCCACCTTCCAAGCACACGATAGAAACATCCCATTTGGTCACCCGGGGCTTTGCTTTAGCACAAGGGGTTGTGACTGCCTTCTTCCCTCCAGGACCACCCACCCCCAGATGAAGGAAGAGGAGCCCTGGAAGCTCAGCAGCCCCACATCCTCAGGTGGGTGGCAGAAAGGGATCCCAAGGGATCCCCTTTCCCACGCAGGCTGTGAGGAGCTTTCTGGTACTTCCAGCCAAGGAAACCAAAGCCTAAACTTCCCTGCATCCCCAGAACTTAAGGCTGCCTCATATTCGAAAGTGTGATTAGTGCAGGCCTCGTCCTGTTCTTGTGATGAACTCAGTGGGAGTTTTACTATTTAATTCAAAAGCCCTGGGCTGTACTGCTAAAAGCCAGGGCTAGATCTTAGCAGAAAGCAAAAAACCCATGTTTGATTTAGTTATATTTGCATTAAAGGAATTATTTCCAGCACAGTCTGATCTATGAGGTCAAGGAAACCATGAAAGAAACCTAACTTGGAGTTTGTGATTCTGGATCTCACTCCCAGTTTCTGCCCAGAAACAACCAGCAAAAGTCTGGATCATCACCCAGAAAGAGAAACCCTCTCCCCCCAGAAGTCAGCAGAGGGGCTCATTTATCTTCCTCTGTTGTTTACACAGTTTTTACTAGGTTCAAGTTTGCGAAGTCAAGTATTACACAATAATAATCTGCAGAAACACATGGAGTTTGCTTTCTTTAACCTCTGTTGAAACCTGATGCTGGCTTCAGGGCACAAAATTTTGCTGTTGTCCCAGCAAATCTGACAAGATGCTCTCAAAGAGTGTCCTTCAGAGCCAGGGTACCCATAGGAAGGAGCTGCACCTCCTCTCTGGCGCCGTATGGAGATGCTTCTGGCTTGAGCAGAAGTTTCCATCAAAGACAAGGGCTCAGCAGGGCACTGAGCTCTCCTCCCAAGCTGCCCCTTCATCCTTGCAGCTGAAAGGCACTGCTTGCACTCGCAGGTGTCGCAGCCTGCCCAAGGAGACAGGGACCCTGTGCTCCAGGAATAAGCTGCTCACAAAGAATCCAAATTAAGAGACCCGTTTCTGTCCAAGCTATAGTTAAGTCTTGTATACTCTCACTGCCAGCAGCAGAGTCCAAGGGCTAAGCAGACAGACAGCTGCAGTGAGGACAGACAGGCCAAAAATGGTTTACTAAGACATAACCAAAACCCTTTTTTACAGGAAAAGAGCCAACCACCCGCGAAGGGTGCCTCGGAAGAAACACCCCGCAGATGCCTGCGGCCAGCCGATGCAGAGCTCCCAGTCGCATTCAGACGTGCCTGCTTCTGGCCCTGGCTGAGATGGCACCGCTCTGGCCAGGCTTTCGCACTCCCGCTGCTCACATTTCCAACTTTTGGGGAGGTGAAGTGTCTTGGGTGTTTCTAGCAGTTGGTTTCTCTTATCTAAGGGTGACAAGCCTAACCTCCAAGCTCTTTATAAAACGGAGATTATTTTGATTTCTTCACTTTACAAAAAGGGAAACTGAGGCTCACAGAGAGAGATATGATCATGCAATGTAGCAGTGACCCAGGACTTGCCCCAGGCCTCCTTAGGCCCAGCCCAAGAGCATATGTACCTTTCCTGCAAGCCCCATCTGCTTGTGCACAGGGCCAGTTGCGTCCTGCACTCACGTTTTAAGCGTTATAAAGGCGACGCTCAGGATGTCCTCGACCAACACTCTGCTAATGGCCAAGAGCTCAGCCACGCCTGATGCAGCACTTCGTGTTGCTCGCTGCAGTTCTTTATCGGACAACTGTCAGGCAGCCAGATTACAGCAGCAGCACAGCCCAGGGAATCGCTACTTGGGTCTAAACTCTGAAAAATGTTACAGCCTAAAACATAACAAAACCAAAAAAACAAAACCAAAAAAACAAAACCAAAAAAACAAAACCAAAAAAACAAAACCAAAAAAACAAAACCAAAAAAACAAAACCAAAAAAACAAAACCAAAAAAACAAAACCAAAAAAACAAAACCAAAAAAACAAAACCAAAAAAACAAAACCAAAAAAACAAAACCAAAAAAACAAAACCAAAAAAACAAAACCAAAAAAACAAAACCAAAAAAACAAAACCAAAAAAACAAAACCAAAAAAACAAAACCAAAAAAACAAAACCAAAAAAACAAAACCAAAAAAACAAAACCAAAAAAACAAAACCAAAAAAACAAAACCAAAAAAACAAAACCAAAAAAACAAAACCAAAAAAACAAAACCAAAAAAACAAAACCAAAAAAACAAAACCAAAAAAACAAAACCAAAAAAACAAAACCAAAAAACCAAACCAAAACCCCAACCAAAAACCTCAAAACCAAACCCAAGACCGTCTTAAAAACAGGGATCTGCATAATGTTTTCCGCACATTTGAAAGCGCTGTCCTGGCCGTTTGCAAATGCCAGATCCCTCAGATCACGGAGACGTGCCGAGTTTAAAGCTGGGTTCCAGCAAGTGAGAAGTTTGGCATCAGCCATCAGGATCCTTTTATTCCTCCCAGGGGTTCCTCCGTGCACAGACAGCAGAAGCACGGGGGGGCGGGCGGGGGAAAGGGCAGACAAAGCTTTTGGGTAACACACTGGCTGTGCCCCCATGAGATCCGAGCCCCACTCAGCCCCTTGCTCCCTTGCAACCTTGGGCGAGCCACTGGAGCTCTCTGCTCCCTCCCTGCACAAGTCTCTTTAGTTTACCTCTTTTGCACAGTGTATCAGGACTACAAAGCCTGAAGATGAAAGGATCTTTGGATATTTGTGCAGTGTCTAGCACAAAAAGGTCTCCACCTCAGCTGGGGCCTCCAGACGATGCAGTGCTCATAAATAATGTAAAGCCAGTACTTCCATGAGCGATGACACAAACTGCCACATTTCCTGCGATTTCATGTCTCAAGGTTGCATTATCTCAGGTTGAGTAACATGCACGTATCCTTACAGTTCCCCTCCTGTATAGGTTCCCTACGCCTAATGATACAGCTAAGCTCACCAATCTCCAATGGAGAAGGGATTCAGCGCCCTCCTCCTCCTCCCACGTTGGGGTGGATATAGAGGGACGTGCTTTTCAGAAGGGAATTCATGATTCAGAGAACCTCAGCAGCATCTACCCAACCACCCCTATCCTGCACCACTTGCAAGGAAAGAGCAGGGGATGGTCCTACCTCACCAGTCGTGACAGCATTAAGGGAACCTGGCATATCAACTATTCCTACTGGGTTTTTAAGGCAAACAATCACTCCCAGATGGAAAGAGAGGAAGCCCATCCTTATGGAAGATTGTGGGCTGTCTGGACACGCAGGCAAAAGCTTCATCCCTTTCCCATTTTCAGGGTATGTACTGCCTTCAAACATAACAGATGGAGACTCAAAAAGGCGATGGGAAAGCACTCACTGTGGAGCAGAGAGACAGGAAAAAAACAAGAATGGGGACAACGAACAGTTTGAGTAGTTTTGTAGTATCATTAAACGTAGGATCTGATGTGCAACAAACAGTGACATACAGGCAGTTGGGCTACTGCAGTCAGGGAGTTATGGCCCGCCAGCCAAGGATGAGCATGACCCTTTAAATAACTGCCTTTGAAACTTCTGTGCCGGTGTCCACCGTGGTGCGGCTCACGGGGCAACCCAGCAGGGCACAGAACTGCTGACTGCTGAGAGGCGGTGAGGAGGCACATCTCAAGTTTCACTCTGTCCCAAAGCCCCGCTGAAACTGATGCAAAACGCCTTCCAACTTCAAGAGATCTTGGATAAATCCAAAGTGAGGAAGGGAACGCAGGCTGGAATACAGGGATTTCCCACTCATTGTTTATAAGCATGTCCTGCACTCTGCAGCTTGGCTGAGCAACCTATCTGCAAGCAGCAGCAGGGAGCCTGCTTCGTGTCTTCCCTGAGCAGAAACCAGAGGAATGCGAGCAATGGAAAAAACGTCAAGTGGAACATCAGCCAGGCTGCGGAACGCCAGCTACCACATGAATATCTGATTTCAGCCCAAATCTCTGCAACCACCATATAAAGGAAGCATTTCAACAGAGCAGACACCTCTCTAGAGCACTGTCTGACAGCTTCTTCACATCTCAGTCTTCCAAGAGGTACTGAGAAAGGCCTTTTCCAACTGGTTGCAAACAAGTTAAAAGGAGGCAGAAAAGAGCTGATGGTGTCGACATTAATACCAGCTTCCTACAGCACTTGAGAAAATCTCCACCAGATCTCAGAACCTTGGCTTGGCATCTGAACCCTGTCAGCTATGCTGTCCTGTGCTTCCAGGCCCAGAGGACGAGCATCCCTCCTGGGTGGCTGGTGTCCCTCCTGGGGGCACCCTGCCCCGGCCATGGGCGGCTCCTGCCCCTGCTCCGACTGCAGGCAGAGCGCCTCAGCCTGCAGGGTCCAAGCAGAACCGTGTCCTGAGGAGATGCAGATTACGACACAGTAAAAGTATCAAATATTTTGTGTTACAAAACACGTGCACTCTGTGACCTAGAAGAAAAAACTAAGATTTACTGGAAGTCACGGAATCCTTTGGCTTGCTAAGTCCTTCTCAGATGACCAAATACAAAATCCAGAAATCCCCTGAGCATCTCCAGCAGCTCCGCAGAGCAGCAGGTGAGAAGCCCTCATTCACCCAATTTTCTGGCCCAGGACTCTACAGGGTCAGGTTATGATTTACAGCAAAACAGGTTGCAGAGGCACCCTGACACCTGCAGTGAGAGGACAGGCTCTGTTTGCTCTGAAAAGACATGGACTTCTGAAAGAATTTGTGCGTCCTGGCAGCACAGCAGCACAGGGCTGCCCTCTAAACCAGAGAGGCATGCGTGGACCCCAGTTTGCAATCCCAGCCTGTGATCCAGACTCTCCTTGCCTTGAGTTTGTTTGTTTGGTTTTTTAACATGCAACTTTAGAGTGTTTTTGACAGTAAAAAAAAAAAAAAAAAAAAAAGAGGGGGAAAAAATCTACCCTGAAATAAGGAAGCTGTGGGGACCCGCTATTTGCTAAATCACACGGCTGACAGTAACCAGAGGCGAGGGAGGGGATGGGCTAGGATTCAGCATTTGCACACCACAGGAATCAGCTCAGGTTTTTAAGACTCAGCAATAAGAAAAGACTTAAAATTCCTACTTTAGTAATCCAGGCAAGGAAAAACCTGACCAGTAGTAGTTGTACAGACAGCTGGGGAAAGCAGTGCTCCTTCTCCCCACTGCGGGGGCCAACAGGATCAGCAACAGCTGGATGTTTCATGCCGCTGCCAACCCCATCGCTGCACCTCAAAGCAGGGAGGGGAATCACCCCCAGGACAAGTGTCCTGGCTGATCCTCTGGCCATGCCAAAGAGTTTGCCCATGAGAGAGGTCTGGCGGGGCCGGCACAGGTACCTCAAGGGTCTCCTCTCCTCTTGGCCCCCAGAGTGCATACACATACCTGGTTATTCCCAACACTCACCAAAAGTTCCTTACAGCCAAACTCAAGATCAAGGCCAAGGCTCTGAGGGGGGATGTGGCATGAGAAGAAGGAATGGCAGAGTATCTCGTCCTTCACAAACATCACGTAACCTGCCTGGTCCCAATTAGGACCCAGTTCCTAATGTGGGAAACACACCATCGCAGGCACATTGGCACTGCTGGGGTTTGTGCTCCGGCTGCTCTCCAGTGCAAGACACAGGCACGGCACCAGATCCCACAGGTGAAACGAGGCATCATGGCAGAGTGGCTGGCAGACACAGTGGCCCATCGCAGAATCCCAGAATGGCAGGGGACCTCAGGAGATCACCCAGTCCCACCCCCCTGCTCAAGCAGGCTCACCCAGAGCAGGGGGCACAGGACATGGTCCAGGCAGGGGTTGAATATCTCCAGAGAAGGAGACTCCACAGCCCCACTGGGCAGCCTGGGCCAGGGCTCGATCACCCTCAAAGTCAAGAAGTTCTTCCTCACGTTCAACTGGAACCTCTTCTGCTTCAGTTTGTGCCCATTGCCCCTTGTCCTGGCACTGGGCACCACTGAGAAGAGTCTGGCTCTGTCCTCGTGACACCCACCCTTCAGATATTTGTACGTGTTGACGAGATCCCCTCTCAGCCTCCTCCAGGCTAAACAAGCCCAGCTCCCTCAGCCTCTCCTCGTAGGGGAGATGCTCCAGTCACCTCATCATCTTTGTAGCCCTCCTCTGGACTCTCTCCAGTAGCTCCTCATCCTTCTTGAACTGGGGAGCCCAGAACTGGACGCAGTGCTCCAGATGGGGTCTCACTGGGCAGAGCAGAGGGGGAGGATAACCTCCCTCACCCTGCTGGCCATGCTCCTCTTGATGCGCCCCAGGTTGCTATTGGCTTTCTTGGCTACAAGAGCACCCTGTTGTGCTCATGGTCAACTTGTGCACCAGGACCTCCAGGTCCCTCTCGACAGAGCTGCTTTCCAGCAGCTGCCCAGTGTCTCTTTGCCCACGCTCTTTCCAGCCCATGCTGCACAGTGCCTCTTCACCAAGCAAACTGCAAGCGTCTCCTCCTTATGCAATCAACAGCCTGTAAAGCTCAGTGACATGTCCTACATGTGCTTTGTTCTTTTTTTCCCCTCCCTCAGTTCATTGAAGCCGTCTCTAAGGTTATGAACCCCTGCGGAAACTACTGGGCTGGCAAAATCATCCACAGCAGGCGCGTTTGCTGGAGAGCGAGGCCAATGTGTGCAGCTGGCCTCGTGAGAAAGGCAGGCATGGGGTTATCCCGCTCCTGCTGGGAACAGGCTGTGGGTGATGTGAATTTCCTTATTTCACAGCCTGGGTATCTATGGCACAAGACACAAACTTCCGTTCCTCTTACAACATCGTGGCCAGAATAGGAAGGGTTACACATCGTTGAGAGTATTGGTACATT